ATGCAAAGTTCAACAAATTGACATGAACATCCACACCGATCTTTTTTTACAGCAGCGCAATGGCGCAACTGAGATTGTCCCCGTCAAACTCACGTTTTGTAGACCAACTCCAAGGTATAAGGAATAACTAACAAGAAAGTAATCGCAATCCTAAATGGGCTTTTTCAGCCTCATCAAAGCCATGGCTCTGGCTAAGTTGAGTTGGGTCTTTCAGGTTACGCGGTTATATAATATGGTGAAGTGGTTGAGGCAAACATTCACAGTTTCAAGCCACATCTTTCAACCTTCTACACAAAAAATCAGTCAGACTTCAACCAGTGTCAACTGCCAGGGCACCAGTCCCAAACAGTGGTGTTCCTGAAATGCTGCGGAGTTGTGTCAGTGTAGTTGCTGGAGTTGCCGAACTTTGTAAAGTCTGGTCGGATCCAGGTCTGTTTGCTGCCATCGATGGTGCATCCATATCCGCAGGTCACCTGCAGGGTCATGGTGGATGAAACAATCACCAAAAAGTCACACGACTTTCAGGTGAGAAACCGATCTGTTCAATTGTGATCGCCGAGCTTTGCTTAAACCAGACTTTTGGGTATTGCACGTGGGTACCAACAGGGGACCACGAAAAACGTCACTTCAAGATAATATTCCAAGTGAAATTAGCACATAGAGTAGATCTTCAATTGTCCGACTAGTAACAAGAAGCTACTAGTAACCAGTAGCTAGAAGCTACTAGGTTGGAGGCCATTACTACTAGTAACAAGAGGCGGCTTGAACCTTTTTGACCAAGTCCGGCGCATCGGCCTCAACTCCCTGTGGCATGTTAGGATATCGCGCTCGGGTGGCCCGCACGCCATCCACATGTAGGGCGACAACTTCCTGCACCTGGGACAAAGTCAACTGATAAAATTTCCAGAGATGTGGGACAATGGGACGATGCCGACTTGGAATCTACACGGAATCTTTACCCATCATCATCATCTTTCAACAAAGATCCCACTGGGACTTTACACTTTTCTGACCTGCCAGTGACCTAGCTTCTGTCATAAAAGAACCGCCCCCTGATGTCCGACCTGTCCCGGCACGTCGCTGACCCAAATGTTGGCTCCGCCGGTGAGGTTGTAAGGTCTCCAGGTGACTTGCAGCTTCTTCCCCCCTGACACTTCCGCGTGCTCATTGGGGTAGGAGGTGATCAGCAACTTGGAGTGTTGAGGTCCTTAAGCCCAAAGGATGGAGGTGATGCTCATCAAGAGCCCAAAGGCCAATTATGCAGATGTGATTATATATATATATATATACACAGTATATATTAGAAGTGAAGATTGGACCCACGAGTAAAAGATCATTGATGAAACGAACGCAATAGCCTTCTGATGAGTATCAACCTGAACTGTTCAATTCAGGTGACCCAGCATCAGGGTCTTCATCAAGAAGTGCGTCCCACCACGCAGCACCACCATGGGGATCTCCGCACCCCTTGTGATGGCGAGATCACAAGCCACTTGGAGAGAACGCACTGGATGGTTCTCGCTACCCACCTGGTCTAGGTCAAGCGGAAAACACAGGAAGGGGATGGCGCGGAAATCGTTTTTCCTGCTATCAGAAGTTGCAGCTCTGTGCATCGGATACCCCTGAAATCCAGCTGCTTGAGTCACATTGTGTCATTACGTTGGCTCAGTGCATTTTTGTTTCACAACTTGGACCGGTAATTAAGTTCAATCCGTGAAGCATTGATTTCTACCTGGAGTAGATCGAAAATGAAATTGAACTGTGTAAAATTTGCAGTAAAAGACTCAGAGTGGATGGGCCTTTCTTTCCTGGAGCGTCTCCCCAATCGAAACACAATGACGATAGGATGCACTCCCATGAAAAATACATATTCAACCACTCCAGGATGATCAATGGTGATTTTATGGGTGTGGCTCTAAACCCACCCTGGTGAACGTTCCAAAATTGAACAAATCAGTCTCTATTAGGCTGGAAGTGTTCCTCATCATCTCGGGGTAGTTGGTTTCAAACCATGGCCATGTAGTCATCTATACAGGGTTTCAAGAATGGAGGGGACGCCAAAGCATCCCAGTTTAATGTATGTATGATTGATGATGCTTCCAGTGTTGATCAGTAGGATTACAGTATACGGTTATGATTAATGACTAATGATGATTACATTCCTTGGTGATTCACTTACTCATCATTATAGTGATGTTTAATGACAAATGATGATTGCCGAGGTCGTTAATAGTTATTTATGATTACAGTAATTTGCTGTGGTGATTCATGACCAAGGATGATTGCAGTGCTGATTGTTGACTAATGATGCTTGCGATTATGATTGACGATTCATGTTCTGTGTCAACTATGACTACTGAGACACTTACAGTAATGAAATTTACCACTATGTAAGCATGAATGCCGAGAAAAGTGCTGATTAAATTATGATTGCCGGGATATGCGGTGATCTTTAATGCCTAAATACGTTAAAAAGTGACCATTGCCGATGTAATGACTACAGTAATGACGATTGCAGTGATGACACGTTAATGACTGATGATGTTTATTATGTTTATCAAGATGCTTGATGATTCTGATTCTTGTGAGGATTGATGACTAGTGGATATTCTGAGTCTGATTATGTCCCGGCCGCCTGGCTGTCATCCCCATTCACGTCCACGAACACTGCCGTGTCGCGCCAGTCACGTGGCTGCAGGTCGCTGGGCTGAGGGTCGCTGGCTGGTGTAGCAACCGCCTGGCAGCTGCAGGCCCCAGACTGAATGAACAATAAGCAGTAGCAACATTAAGTAGTTTGATTGGTAGTTGACAGTATGTCAAACTGAATTGAAAGAACATAGTGCTTCATATATTTAAAAAACAAACTACATACTGTAAGTCTGAGTAAGAAACATCAAAAGAAAGGCAACTGTACTATGCAGTCGTATCATTGCAAATACGATCTGAAACAATGTCATCACACAGGATCAAGCCAACAAAAAGGACTATCCACAAATGATCACGGAGGGTGTCTGGGCCAAATGGGCAAAACCCTGCCCAACGTAATGTTTATTAATGTTCATCCACCAACCTATAGGGGCAGCGGCTTTTTGATCCTAGTAGCGTCCTTGCTCCTAGTAGCGATGCCAGGAGCCCCTAGTACAGGGGCAGCGGCTAGCAGCAAAAATAACATCAACCTAATTTGGATGAGGGCCACTTGCCATGTGTTGGTTTTACTGGCCTTTTTGGCCAAATGCCTCTCCCACGCTCTTGATTTACGCTTGGATGTGATGAACCCTATATGAACCCTATGTCCAAAACAGTTGCGGAAAAAAAGAGAATCGTGAGAAAAGAACAAGATGAACAAGTACAGTACAAGGTCCAAAGATGTCCCAAGTCAAGCAGGCAAATGATTGGTTCCTGCGTGTGACTGAAGATATCCTGCCCATCCGGATTCATCGGATCTGCTGGGTTGGTCACAAGCAGGTGCTGGGTAACAGGTAGCAGATGTTGAATGTGGATGCGATGGAAGACAAAATTGCAAATCACATGGGGCCGTGGGTCAACCAGTTCGGAAAAACACGGAAAGCGGAGCAGCATTTCGGTCATACAAAAAAAAGGGAGACTTTTGATCGCCTCCATGTCCATGTGACAACTGTCGCTGTTCAAATCCAAGGCGTAGTAGAGACTCTCGAAGGTACCCATGCGTGGAAGCAACTTCCTGGCATCCACTGATGAGAACCCGGGAAAGAGCCACGTCAGATTTAAGGGATCGCGTCATGTCGGGTTCATGGATGTGGATGTGGGAGTGTGATTAGACTTTGCCATGAAACATGTTGGAAACCGTTCCGAGCCGAAGATGATCGAATATTACACCGAGGCCGCCCAGGCCAACCTTTGGCCCCCTCTGAAATTCTCCCGTTCCAGCGACCTGCCGTAGGCATAGGCCAATTTGCGCCACTCCTGATCTAATTCTAGAGCCAACAAGGTCACTGGAGCATGATGGATGAAACTGGTTTTCGCCAACAAACGTCATATGGACACCAAACAAGTGGATGTTGCAAAGGAATGCAAAGCACAAAAACGTTCACAGGAACTTTCGAGAGTTTGCAACATCCTGTGACTGAAGACTAAAAAGCACTCGTTCATGGAAAAATCCATACACTCAAAAAGTCCAAGGGTCGCAATCAAATGATGCAGGTTTGTTCCCATCTTTCAGTGGCCATCCGTGGGCTCCAACGGCTCCACCCCAGCAAAGGATCAACGCTGCGAAGAGCTTCGTCATTGCAACAGCAAAGAGCCAAGGCTAAGGAAGCGGCGGACAAGTTCGTCGTCTCAATGGGTTGAGTGAGTGGTTTGAGTTGGCCATTTGGAAGATCCTCAGGATACATCAGGAATCATCAGGATATATATATATATATATATGTTTTTTCGCCATAATCCATGGCAATGCCTTTCGGAGGGTTTTCGATTCCAAACCACCAACTCAGACATACCCAAACCATTCATTAACATCCATTACTCAGGGAAAAGACTTTGCTGACGGATCACATTGCGGCGACCGACTACGCGAAGAATGAATGTTCAAAGAGACATGCCTTTGCTACTCGGAAAGGTTGAGGCCATCGCTATTAGGTTGGAGGCCCTTACTACTAGTAACAGGGGCATCGCTACTAGTAACGTATAATAGCGCACCTAGAACCGCGCGGGCTTCTGAGTTTCTTTTGCCATTCTGTGCATGACACGCCTTCTTTGGGGAGGGGCTTGTTAGATCTTGTCAAGGTGTTCATGGACATGTTCACATAACTCCGGCTTCCTAAGGTGTCTGGAATTGGCCATTTCCATGGATGCAACGCTATAGTGCATCGTGTTGTTCAGACTTCCTGTCATGAATTTGTGAGTATCAGCCAAGGTGTTCCTTCTTCCATGAGCGGAAAGCTCATGGCTCATGGTTCTTGATGGTGTACACTATGGCCTGGCGATGGCGACTTGTGCACAAATATCGCCAAACAGAGTGCAATGCTATCAAAGCCTTACACAATTCTAGTGTCGCAGTAAAATATTGCTACTTGGAAAACCTCAAACGCTGTGGTAAAACACTAATTTATATAAATATAAAAACAATATCAATTTTTCAGAAGTTAATGCAGAAACATGTATATAGCAGTCGCTGCAGTAATTTCGAGCTCCGTCGTGCGCAGTTTCCAGTCCGGCCGGTGGGATGTTTTGCTTGCTTGACTGAGCACTTGCGTTCCAAAAATTTTGCTAGACGCCCTTTTGCTAAATTTTCGGCTTGACGGCTTTATGCTTCCAAGTTAATATCCATCATGTATAATTTTCTATTAGCATTGAATTCTAATTATAGAACAAATAATGAACCATACGGTTCCAAATGCTTTATACATATATATATATGTTTAGTTATACATTAATACATTATCGATAACCACCGGTATACGGTTCCAAATGCTTTATACAAATATATATATGTTTAGTTATACATTAATATATTATCGATAACCACCGGTTTCGAGTTCCAATGCGGCTTGTATTTCGGGAAGATTGAGAAGAGGTTGCAAATCCTCAGTATGATAGGCTGCCAATTGAAATGCCACCAAATGGACATACAACAATATTGATGGACAGCTAAGGCTGCTAGGGTGCCCCATCTTCCCGAACTTCTTCGATCCACTTTCTTCTTTGCGATGGCTCCACAGCATGCAAACATGTCCTTAAGCCACCAATTGTCTCCACTTGGTCGCCATGAGCTTGACAAGTGATAGGGGCAACAAAATCTGACTTGCACTGGGCGCTCGAATCTTGTTGCACACCCTCTAAGTCCCGGTGGCCCAGGTAGCCCGTGTCCAAGTATCTCTATATATATATGTACTGTATATCATTGTATATCAGATTATATCCGTATGTTCTGTGAGATCTTGGTGCGCCAGCCCATGCAGCACGAACTCTGCAGGGCACTTCTATCTTGCTTGATTGTGAAATACAATGAAATACCCCAAACATCCCAAGACAAATGTCATGGCCCGTCACCTGTTGTTGCAAGCAAGCCTCCTCAAAGCCTTGGCCGCATAGTCGGGCCTATTAGCCATAGCAGCGACGCAGGCCATGTTGTACCAGGCAATGGCTTTGTCGTCCGGACCTGAGAATATGTTTTCATCATTGTTTGTGCTTTATAGCAAAAACATTTGAAGGTGACCAGCCTGGCTTGGAACTTTACACGTGTGACAATTCTAGCAGGAGGATTCCGGTACTGAACTGGCGAGCGCACATCATGCACATCTAATGAAACTATTGTCATGCTATGCTTCAGAATGCATGAGACTTGACTCAACTTTCATGCGCCAAGCAACCATTGTTGCTCAATGCCTGAAACACTTCAGTGGCCTTTTTCAGGTGAGCCATTGGGTCCCTGCGATAGCGGTGCAAGAATGAAAACAGCACAAATACAAACACAAACACCGCAATTCCAACGGGATTTTCTAGTGCCCTATCATTTCCTGGATGGTCGGACTCTCTAGTATTATATAGTTGCTTGTTTCAGAGTGCATTTGTAGTATCCAGTATATTGTTGCCTTCCTCGAATGTTGCACAGTCACCACACGTCCATCATTGTCGTTCTGTCTTCGTTGAACGGTGCTATCTGCCGAGCGGATGCATCACAGCACACTGTGACACTGATGTGCAAGATCCATGGCTTGAATGGGGATGCATCTGTTCGCTACAAGCCAAATCGACAGGCGCGAAGGCTCCTCTCTTCCCACATGCCCCGTGTGTGTTGCAGCCTGCTTGTAGACTGCATGCGACGAGCCAAGTGCATCTGCAGCTCCCCCATTGGCAACAGCCCCTCCGCTCCAGCAGCGATGTAGGCGGCCTTGTGGAAACTGAGCGATGGCAAAAGCATGCAAAAGAGCCACAGTTGCAAGGCTTGTATATATACCCATCAATCAATCAATCAATCAATGTCAAGTCGATAGCTGCATCTCGTGGCCACTGCTTAGTAACTTAGCTATCCTGGGGCACTTTGCCTGCCTTAATTATATACTACCAGCTGCCTTACTACCAGCCAAAACATGCCAAAACGTGATGACAGCTCTATAACTGATTATATATATATATACTATATATATAATTAAGCGATTTGCCCCGGGCGAATTCTCTAGAGCATCATCTTGAGGTGCCTCTGCCAAAGTGGCCAGCTCCTCTTCAGTGGCCTCTGATGGCAAGTGCTCGACAATCTCCCCCGAGCCTAATGCACACACAGGCTACAGGAAGGTCTTGATCATGAGAATTTATGTTGCATGGCTTTGCTGCAGTTGAGATACCACTGCCCGGGGGGTGGAGGGAGGAGCAAACCTTTGGAGCCCAGCAGCTGGGTTGTTGATCCTTGGCAAAGGAAGGATTTGCGCAAAAGGCCGCACCAATGTAGTGCGAACTAAGTAGAAACTGTCAGATTCATTTGAAAATCCAAGAAACCTTCCGAAGTTGAGTGGCTGAGGGCAGTGAGCAGCTCGAATGGACTTCCCAACAGGCGGCAGCCAGCTGCATAAGCATCGCCTACAAAAGGGAACGATTCTACAAAATTATTCTCTCCAAGGCGGGAAACTTATGGAACGTGTGCATGGATCATCCTACAGGTGCTTGTTCCTTCAAGTCCTCTCCACACCTCCCCAGTCGTCAAAGGAATAGTTTCCTTTGAGTTGTGGGTGCTGCGGGAAATTGTTGGCGAACCTTCCGATGACATTCAGCAAACAAAACCTGTGCAATGCCCGAATCATAAGCAATCAATACAGCTTAGAACAAGCTTCCCAAGAAGCTAAATCTTGGATGAGACCATGCATGATTTTCCTTTATCTTCCTGTGACGTTTGCATGAGACCGCCTCTGGTTGTACAACATGTGCTGACTCTTTTCAGGTTTCATGATGATCCGGACAAAGCAAGTGTTACTGGTCCGATGGTTAATGACACCTCTTCTCAAAGTTCCCAAAGAGTATCAAACTCAGCACATTTGTCAATTGTCTGGGTCTTTCATGGTTGTGCTTACTGGAATGCGATCCCTGCATATGAGTCGTGACTGGCTGAACCTCTTCCAACAGGGTCCATACCCTCTGTCATTGAAGCCAACCTGGCGGTCTTAAACAATGGCTTTGCCAAATCCTTATGGCCCTTAATAAGCACGCTTCTCCATGTGCCTTGCAAAGCATTGAAGCGGTTGCTTTGCGAGAGGTATCTGACTGCCAGGGTCAAGGAGAAGCATGAACGCCAGGCGATAATAGCACGCCGCAGCCATTCCTCAAACAGGTCAGGAGGTGTGGAGGGGAGGGCGTGGGACTTGCACAAACGGCTGAATTGGATTGATGGACCCGATGTCATATACGCCCACTTGTGGCCCAGAGGGGAGTGGTGAAAGCTAGGCAAAGGAACAACGCTGGGGCTCTTTAGGCCCGGCAGCAAAAGCCTGGCCGGGAATCGGAGCATGCCATGGCCAAGGGAAAAGGAGAGTGCCAACAGCGCCCCCCCAATACGACCCCAACACAGCCAACACATGGCAACACACAACCACCCCACCAACCGCAGCCGCAGCCGCAGCAGCCACAACAACAATAACTGTAACCAGCAGCGGCAGCGGCAGCAAGCAGAACCTACCAAGCAGCAGCAGAAGCAGCAGCAGGAGTAGCTAGCAAGCAGCAGCACCAGCTTCCAAGCAGCAGCAGCAGCAGCAGCTACCAAGCAGCAGCAGCAACAGCTACCAAGCAACAGCACCAGCTACCAAGCAGCAGCAACAGCTACCAAGCAACAGCAGCAGCAGCTACCAAGCAGCAGCAGCAGCAGCTACCAAGCAGCATCACCAGCTACCAAGCAGCAGCAGCAGGGAAAGAGTGAGCTTTCCTTAGAGTCTTTCGTGCACCAACATTTGGTCTCGAACAGTAGCACATATAGGTGCTGCTTGAGTAATTGTAGAAGGGCGACGTGGAAAGACAGATATATCTGATATATCTGTTTTCGTGCTGACGATGCAGCCAGCAGCGGTGTGCATGATTGACATCTAGGGGTTGCATGCCAACATGTGTCAGCGACCGAAGACTCCGTCGCAACGCTTGTGCATGCTCCCTGTCGCTCGAACATGGAACGCGGACTACCATGAGTGAAGCAAACAGCCCGTTCAAACATCTTACTGGGTTCTCTCATTCATGTGTGTAGGAAGTATCATCTTTTGATCTGCATGGATAGCGGATAGTGCATTCCGATTTGTACTCTTGGGGGTTGTGGGGTGGGTACATGCCTGTACAAG